TGACAGATAAAATTTCTGACAGATGAATTTTTCAGCCAATAGAATTACTGGAAATCGTTTCAAGATCGTTACGCCGATGCGCCGATCCGCTTTTTTAGGATAATGTGGATGCATCCTCCAGAAATGGTCACAACCCAATTCATTTTCACGTTGTCCAAATGTAAACACATTAGTCCAAGGTTCCAGTAAGTAAAACCAGAGAAAAACAATCGAGAGAAGCGACAAAACGAATCCCGCCTAAAAATTTAGAATGGGAGGTAAACCTGCTAACTGTCTTCTCAACGTGTTTTCGGAATACGGCCAGCGTTGCTACTGTTAATGATAAAGTCCTGAAATCTTACTATTTTTTATTTGTGTACATAATTAATCTTTGTGAATTAATTAATCTATATTTTATCCTTCCCTTATAATAGTACTTAAAGAAAGAACTAACTTTCAGAACTAAATATTATTAAAACTTAAAATAGATGCAGGTTTGTTAGCGTTTAATAAAAAAATAATTAGAAAATTAAAACTATAAGAAAATGAAAAATTTAATCGCATATATGATATATTAGCGACGCTAATTTGAGTTGTGTTATCTTTAATATAATATCGTGGGCGTACAGCGAAAATCCACTAAGTCACATTTTTGGTTGAATTGGATTAAACACACCACTATGTCCAGTTTTTCACGGTCTTTAACATGAAAAAACCATTAAGTAGGCATCCTTATATTATAAGGATGCCGAAATTGGACTTGTTGGAATGGGTTTTTCATGTAAAAGACCATGAAAAACTGGACATAGTGGTGTGTTTAATCCAATTCAACCAAAAATGTGACTTACTGGATTTTCGCTGTACGCCCACGATATGATTTTTTATGTAAAATGTGACCTTTTAATATACAGGGTGAGTCTTAAATAAGTGTAAATATTTTCAGGGCTGGTAGATCTCGATAAATAAAGCATATTTTCTCTTTACCTTTTTTCAAAAAAGTCCAGAATAACCGACATTCTTTGAAAATTAAAAAAAAAATGTTGCTTATCTATCCAAGTTCCGAAGAAATTCAGACCATTTTTTAGGTATTTTCGTCGTAGAACTGATTTTGATCCTGGCACTGGTACCACGATTTTCTCTTGTGTCCGACTTAATTGACATTTTCCAATCAATCCCGTGGGATAGTTATCCCACGTTATGTGCCACTGAGGGGTGTTTTTGAATTCTGATAATATGTATGTCAAAAAACATCTGTTTACATAGTCTTCGAAAGAGATCGTGTCGGAAGTGGGATTTAAAAGATGTATCAAACCACCACCATGGACTACTACGCTATCAAAGTATTGAGGGATTCCGATTTCTGCTGTTTCAGCTGTATCTGAGTTTTCTGTATGACTCAATATACAGCTTAATATGTCGGATTTTGGTCATCGTCTACTCTGGTCATTCAACTTATTGCGTTCGATAATGATTGCGTACTGCGCTGCGGTGCGGCTGAAAATTTATAGCAGCGTTGCAAAGTCATAGAAAGGAAGAAATTAGTTTTAAAAATAACTGGAAACATTCAAAATAGTTACTTTTCTTCGAAATGATCAGATCATTGGAAGTTTAATTTCTATTTTTATTAATATAGGTAATATTAGTCTAGCTCGTCACATTTTTTATTTTTATCCTAATTTTATTACCGTTCTCTTCGATTATTAATCAAGTGATTATGAACTTTGTATACACCAATCGATAGGAAATTTTCTTTTATTTAAATGAGGCCTCTTGATATTTTTCCAAAAAATCAATAGTTACCGAGAAAATTGCAAAAACATAAAAAATGTACCTTTGGGGGTGGTTTTCTTGAGGATCTCTGGACCTTCATCCTATCTTTTTTCCAACCAATCGATATACCCATTCCCAGTGAAGGCCAAACTTTAACACGTATAGTAACTCACGACCCATTTTAGCATGGGATTTAATACGTACTAATATGTGTTCATTTCAATAGTATAAAGTTTCCAAATTATAAATTTTAAATAATATCTGAAACATCAATCCATGAGTTAAACCTGGACCGAAAGCCTAACCACTTTACATAAAAATGTTTAATATTATTCTTCTGTCGGTGACGCAATATATGATAATGAAAATTGGGAATTAAAGAAAATATGTCTATAACACTATAAAAGACTAAAAACAAAGAAATGAATGCAAATTAATGGTTTGTATGTCTCCCAGAGAAAATGGCGGATCTGTCAAAGTCACATGTTCTGGAATGGTCTATTGAAAAAATTGCAAATTGCTGGTGGTAAGTTCAATTCATTTGGTTCTTAAGAATTAACCAAGGCATGTATTGATATGTGCCACAAAACAAAATGCTTAGAAGTCATGGTTCTAACTGAAAAATAACTTTAAGAAAAATTTACTCACAAAATTAATGCACAGGGTGATTTAAAGTTACGGTAAAAACAACCCTTCGATTAACCCTGTATAATAAGCCAAATACAAGTTCTTTTTTAAAAACTGAGTTTACCAATTAAAATAGATATATCTATATAGGTAGTTTGGTAAAAAAATTATGAAAATAGGGCTAAAATAGAAAATGTGGCACTTTAAACTTGACTAAAAATTTTGCTGTTGCGTTTTTTTGCATCTGAGTGTATAATATGTTACGTTTAAAGTCCGATGTCTGGTTGATGTCGACATTAACATGTTAATGTTTGGGTTTGGTTATGTTTTTGGTTGTTTTGTTGTGTGTTATTCCCGATATTAACCAGGTAATGTCGACATTAACCGGACATCAGACCTTAACCGTAATATATATAAAACAATATGGTGTACCTATCAATTCCATAAATAGGATTGTGTCTATGTTCAACAATTGGCTCACAAGAAGTGGTCTGCTCTTCAGACAAGTTTTGCCTCTGTTCCTCGAATTCCATTACTTTTAATTTAAGCTGCCTAATTTTTTTATTGGCTTTGTTTAGTGATGTTGTTAACAAATATTCACCAAGGGATTTTTTCGACAACTTTTCTTGTAAGTCATATACTTCTTTCCTAAAATAATATATAGGTAATAAAACAGTAATTGAATAAAGATACAACAATATTACGTTTTACTTTTAATCACATCTTGATAGAATTGATATTCTGGTGATAAATTGTCATTTAACCTCCCCGCCTTTTGTTCCAGTTCTGCTTTCTGTTCATCAATCATATCCTGAAGAATCTTTAAGTTATTATTTAGAGAATCTACAACCTAAAGTATTTCTGTTAAACATAAAATCAAAATCTATTTTTAATTAAAACTTGTTACAACCATTTGCTTATCCTCATCAATTTGTTCTAAATCTTTCCGCCACATACTTTGAAGATCGGCATTTACTTTGCGTAAATGAGATATCTGTTTAACAAATTGCATTTTTTCTTGTTTTATTCGGACATAGTCAGTCTTCATATTGTTTACAGTCTTCTGCAGATAAACACGACGATCGTCCACTTCTGCAAATAAAGAATTGCCCTTGCTACCTTCATCTAGAGGTTTGCTTCTATAGGTTTCTAATTCTTTCCTGACACAAAATAAATCATCATTAAGTTTCTCTATTAGGACAGTATTTTCTGCAACTTCGTTTCTTTTCACTTCTAATGATTCTTTCAGTTGAGATATTTCTTCTTTATGTTGCTGGAATTTAAAAGTAAGTTTATTAATACTACCATGAATAACTAATAAAATTTCTTACTTCTAGAAGAATTTCGACTTCTGTATGCTGATTTTGTAAGGATGCATAGTGTTCAAGTAATTCTTCGTAACTTTTTTTAAGAAGCTCATTCGCACTTTTTAAACTTAATACTTCTTCAAACTCCATCGATAATTCACCATCATTTTCTGTACAGTTTGACTTTTTTAATAGGTCAATTTCAATTTTTAAGTCCTCATTCTCTTGTTCTTTCTTTATTAGTTTGGCTTCAATATTTGTTAATTTTTCAGAATGGGCCAACCTGTATAGCGTTAAAATTAAAAAAAAAATTAAAAAATTGTAAATGGTATTACCTTAAATTATTAATTGCCTCCTCAAGATTGACAATTTTTGTTTCCAATTTTTCTTTTTCATTACGATCACCATTTTGAAGGAGTTCAATTTCACTTTGATAATCTCTTAATAATGTTTCGCTTAACTTTGCCTGTCTGGTTGAGTCGTGTAATTGTTGTTTTACCACATCTAATTCTTGTCGCAAACTTTTATATTGGAGTAAAAGTCCTTCATAGTCCTCTGATATAAATGTTCTTTCGTTATCCATAGTATCACAAAGGTTGACACCACTAACTGCTACTAATAGTATATCAAAAATATTAATAAAAAATAAAGTTTGTTTTTAAATTTTAAACACTTTTGTCCCTTTTGTCCATAACCTTTTCAATTCCGTTAGTTTGAAATTTGAATTGACAAATGATTGACATTATTGACATTATTGACAATTTCATACCAGTGCAGCCACACTAAGTGTAGACTACTAGTGTAACAAAGAGTGTAAAGTGCAAGTAAAGTGTAACTCTGAGTGTAACAATAAAAATATCTTTGGTAACAATACACCTATGCGATACATTCTACACTACATCTGATTGTTGAATAAATTCATGATAAATTCTTTAGGTAAAGAAAAGGGTAAAGGCACAGAGAAAGTAATAAAAACTGGGGGTGAAGGTGTGGATCTGGTGGCTGACCTTGAAGCCCATATTTGCTGCATTTGATCATCGATACTACGCAAGCGCACATCGTCGATGTTGCCAAATTGCAGTTTATTTTCGAATTATTTGCAGTTGAAAATTTTTTTTTTCAGTGTTAATCAATAATAATGCAAATTTTATAATTAATTTTATAATTTCAGATTTATCTTGATATCCAAAATTATTTAGTATTTAATATCGTGTACTTTGATATTCTTTTCTTAATTTACTGTAATTTCTTGTTTCCTATAATGCCAAATCTTGACAATATGGTGAAGGTTGAGTTTTGATCTTATAAGGGTTTTATCACAGATAACACATAATCCAGATGGCTCCTTACGTGTTAAAAATTGTCACCCCAATTTCACTCCAATTTGGAAAAATATTGGAGTGACGTTTGAATAATCTGAAATTTTTAGATTCCTTTTCTAACTTTTTTGGGAGGTTTTGCTTCTCTTGCACAGATGTCGCTTGCACTTCAGTTGCGTGGTTGCCAAACGTTATATCGAAATATATTTCATTTCATTATGAATATATAAAATTAAAAATTATGTAATTTATAAACATGAAATAGATATGGATGTTAGGTAATACCGGATGTTAAATTAATATATAAATATTTAACTTAATACGTACATTATTATTTTATTAATTTATCGTCACACGTCATTTACCAGTTGCCTAATTACGAAAAGTTTCATATGATATTAACCTCAAAAATGATCTTTGAAAACAAACAACAACAAATAACTCAAAGAAATAACTACATACTACATAATAATAACTGATAATAATGACTTTTAATGGTATAAAGGCTGATGAAGGTAATTATAAACATTATTTTGAGTTTGTTTAATAAAATATAGGATACAATATAACTAAGCAAAATCAAACAGTTTTAGACAACCAATACAAGATTCAGAACTCGGCATCGCGATAAACAAGTAAAATTGTACATTCAGGAACTCGTTTAAATATTATAGGTAAGTAATATTTTCACAAAAGTAAACATAAAGTAATATAGAATATTACCTGTGATAAAATGTTAATTAGTGACGTATATTTATTCTAATCACATTTAAATTTAAACTCAAAATTTTCATAAAGAAAATGATAATTTTTCATAGATATAAAGTAAATAATATTACATATTTCAGGTTGATTGAAGAATAATCTACAATTGATTAGAGCCTATGACGATGCGAAGATAATTAATCACCTAACTTTAAGAAACCAGCCTAAAGAAGTTTACATGCATCTCATCTAACCATTATAGGTAATAATTTACAAAATTAGTCATTTTTGATTATAATATTATGGTACTTAGGTACATTTTATCTTCTAGATCAGTAGTGATTTTTCATAATTTGAATGAACTCACAGATAGCAATGGGGCACCGCACCGAAGCAGTATTACAAAATGTGAAATAAAACTGTAGTACATATTGCTCTATAAAATTTAATAGAAATAAATTTATTTATGAAAATTAATGAAGTTTTATCTTTCCTAGGAAAAAAATAACAATTATATTTTGAACAATTAATTTAGAACATTAGAGTTAAAAAAATATATGTGTTAGAAATTGTAACACATATTTTTTTAACTCTATGTTATTCTAACTTAGAATAACATATTTTTAATAAAATTGCGCTTATACTTTATACTTTTTTGCTATTATATCAATAAGAACTAACGTAAGGAGCAATTCATTTATACTATAAACACACATGCATATTTTTTGATCTTTTTAAAACCAGTGAATAATGTTGAAATATGCTACACCTATTAATTCTTATTAACTAACTTTATAGCTAGACAGTTGAAAATTTTACAGATAATGTATCTATGTTGCCGCTATAAGAACAAATACTAAAAACAGAATTAAATAAATGTTTATAAATAAAAAAGTACTTTCACTAAACATTATCGTTTAAGTAAGAATTTTACACAGAATATTCAAGTCCTCGAGTGGCCGTGTGGTTAAAGGCGTTAGGATTTGAAGGCGTTGAGACGTAGTGAGGCAGGTTCGAATCGTAGGCAAGGTGACTTTTTCTTAATCTTTTTTTTTATTTTTACATATTTTTACATATTTATTTTTACTTATTTATTATTGATTAATACAATTTTTAGCAATGTATTTCTTCATTTTTTTTAAATTACTTACAAGCGCATTCAAAATTTCAGCTAAATCGGAAAAAAGTTTACAATAATATAATGTCTGATGTTGTATAGATAATGTGTGAATGGTACATTCAATGATAATGAACCCTTCGTGCGCGAGTCCGACTCGCACTTGGCCAATTTTTTTTGTTAATTGAAACGTTTAGAATTTGAATATTCGTTCAAAAATTTTTTTTTTAATAAATTTATTTATGATAAACAATTTATTAATGAAAATAATATGACCGAATTTCCTGGAAAGTTTTTCAAATTTGTACATATGAAAACCTAGCTTTACCACTTATCATAGAAAATCTCTATTCCTTCCCTTATCACGGAATAATAAAGGAACGAACCATATGCGACAAAGATAGAAGATTTAGATATGTCGTTACTGTCTTTTGTTTTTAACGGATATTTTAAAAGGCGGGTAATTTACCTTTGACTGTCTTTGATTATAACTGTGTGTGATTAGTGATAATAAAATTATTATTAAAATGTCTGGTAATAAGTGCCAATTTTATAATTGTGGGATTTCTCGGAAATCAGGTGTACATATGTTTAAGTTTCCTGCGTCAAGAGATCCTAATTTATGTACAAAGTGGATAGAAAATTGTGGTGAGTTCATTCATATAGAATTTTTTTGCACATTTTGTATGTAAAAATACGGCGTTAAGTTACCTTAGAAATGGTGATCGATGGCTTTTACCATATACCGTATGATCGAAAAAAAAACGGCGTCAGCGATGGCTATGAAATGAAGATCGCTGTCATTTGATATGTAAAATTATATGGGGAATGTCATCGACCATCATTTCCAAGCCAATCGGACGCCTTTTTTTTTGGATCATACGGTATAATTTAACACATTAAGAATTGTCCATCGTTATTTCTTTATCTATGCAAAGTTTATGATGGATAAATCAAGTAATTAAGTGGATATAAATTATAAATGAATCAGTGAACATAAACTGTTATAAATTATAAGTAATGCAATTATTGAATATACCATACGATCGAAAAAAAAACGGCGTGGGAGTGGGCTTGGAAATGAAGCATATATAGATTAATTGAAAGCATTTTATAAAAATATATAGTTATACAGGGTGTCCCCCAAAAAAGTTATACATTAAAGTTGTTTTTTGTAATGGAATACCCTATATATTAATTGATTTTTGGATTCCAGGAAAAAATAAAGGTGTGTTTTATTAAAGAAGCATGTGCCTAGAATGTAAGGATTTTGACATATTTCACATTTTGTGAAAATGAAGAATAAAATTTAAATTTCAATAACAGCTATCTATATTGTAATTTATCCTGTATAGCCTGATATTTAGTTACAATAACCATAATATGTTAAACCAAATTAAAATGTGACAGGAAAAGTTATACAGGGTGGGACAAAACTTATATTGAACATTTATCACTTTGAAAAGCAAGTTACTCCTTTATTTTAAATGGAACACCCAGTATATTATTTCCGTGTTCAATGGGGAATTCATATATCTTCAAAATATTATTAAGGTTGCCTACCCCTCTAACAAAGATTTTCCTAGATACTTTCATTTTTATGATTTTGCGTCAGTAGATCTTTATTATTTGAAAAAAATCTAGGTGGCTGTGTTAATTTATCAAAAATTAAAGGATGTAGTATAAAATACTGTAATAAAAACATACGTTTAAAACATATATTAATTATCACAGAATTAAAATTAGATATAAATGTATAATTATATAACAAAAATTTGAATCTAAAAGTAGAATCATATCAATTCTTTCTGATGTAGGATAAGTTTCTATTTTCGGAAAATTTCTTAGATTTTTTTTTGTTTCAACTGACGAACTGACACAAAATAATAACTAGTTGCTAAAGTTGAACTAATTTGACAGCTATGTTGAAGTAACGTCAGACATATCACAGCCACCCTAGATTTTATCAAATAATAAAGATCTATTCACACTAAATCATAGAAATGAAAATATCTAGGAAAATCTTTGTTTGAGGGGTAGGCCGGCAACCTTAATAGTATTTGGAAGTGACATGAATTTCCCATTGAATATCGGAA